CATTATGCTGGCCTACCCCTGTCACCTGGCAGAATGCACTCATTCAGTACCCTGGTCAGCCTAGGGTTCCATGGTTGCATAGTCTGCACACAGGTGCAAAGGACCCCTTTAAAAGAAAGACCCCCTCCTACTTACGCTCTTTCCTGCTCCTCTGTTTCTGGCTCTCCTTCCTGCTATTTCCCTGGGGCAGACAGGACTTTTCCAGTATCCCTCTTCTCTTCTGTCCTCTCGCTGTCCCTCTCTCTCTGTCTCTGTATCTCTTTTCTCTTTCCTCCCCCCTTCCCTCTCCTTTCTAAGAAAACTTCTCACTTAAGCTCTGTCTGGCATGTTTGTCCCTCTGGCTTGGTCAACCTCACCCGATATAGAATCTTCCAAGATCCCCCATGCAAGGTCCCACTCAAGCTTTATCATAACAGTATCTCTGCCCCACCCTCCTCAGATGTAAAATCAGAGACCTGCACTACCACACCTGGTGCAACACGGGACCCAGGTTTGATTGGAAACTCACATGGTGGTTCACAAACATCTCTAACCCCAGTTTCACCTTACAGTCACTCATAATTTAGAGCTGAAGTTGCACTTGTGCTGGTGTTCTCACAGTTTTCTTTTACTATTTTTAGAAGTTACATCTATCTATCTATCTATCTATCTATCTATCTATCTATCTATCTATCTATCTATCTATCTATCTATCTGTGTCTGCCTGTACATGTACGCATCCAATGATGTGGATGTGGAAGTCAGAGAACTTTCTGGAATCAGTTCTCTACTTGTATCGTGTAGGGCCGGGATCGAACTCAGAATTAGGCTTGTCGGCAGGCACCGTCATCCACACTCACCTTTCAAACCTTGTGATAAAAGCCAGCTGACTACAGACATTGTCACATGATTTCACTTGTATAAGTTCTGCTCACTAAGTGCTTTCAAGTTTGTGAAGGGATGTGGAATAATGTTTTTCCACACTGCTCACGCGTTGATTTCTCTCAGTTGTGAATTATCTCATGGAATGATTGAATGAATGAATGCTATCCCTTATCTTTTACATACATAGGGTTTCTAGTATGGAATTTTTTCCCCCATGAATAATGGGTACTGTAGAAGGCTTTTCTACAATGCTAACATGATTAATCATTCTCCCAGTGTGAATTCTTTGATGCTAGTGTAATTCTTACTTGTGCTGGGATTAAATATATGTACCACCATGCCAAGCAATTTTTACTTTCTTAAGTAGCTGGTTCATGTTCAATATTGTTTGCCTAACAAAAATATCTACTGTATTTGGCTTTGCCAGCTTTCTTAGAATCATTTCCAAAAAGCCTATCTATTTATTACTTTTCTCCTCACTGTGACGGAGTACCTGACAAATATACGGGATTTATTTTGCCTGTTGCTTCAGAGTTCAGTCTCTAGTTCTTGGCTTTGTTGATTCTGGGCCAGGGGCAAAGTAGGCAATTTGGTGATGCAAACATAGAGAGAGGGTTGCTCACTTCATTGCATTCAGGAAGGAGACAGACAGACAGACACACACACACACACACACACACACACACACACACACACTGTATAACCTTCAACATTATGTTCTCAGTCTCTTGCTTCCTCTGGCTATGACAGACCTCCTAAAGCTTTGTGCCACCAGTGGGGGACTAAGTGTTCAATACACGCTTATTGACAACTTTTCAAATTCAAACCACAATGGCCTACATGTTATGATATGATCAATGCTGCTGCAAACATACCCCTTTGAAGAAACTGGCTATTTATCTTGTAGAATTTCTTGATCTCTGCATCTAGGTCATTGAATTTTCCTGGTGGCAGTTAACATGTGCTTTAGCCACCGTTCTTGTTTGGCTGCTTTTTTGTTTTATTATTTTGGCGGTTGTTTCCTTAAGCCAGTATTTAGATCTAGAGACTCAATGTTATTTTCTTCAGTTGGAAAATGAAAGTGCATTTGGGAACTATTTCTCTTAAACTGCCAAGCCATCTCTTGAGCCTGGTATTCTTTTTTTTTTTTGTTTTTTGTTTTTTTTGTTTTTTTGTTTTTTTGTTTTTTTTTGAGACAGGGTTTCTCTGTGGCTTTGGAGACTGTCCTGGAACTAGCTCTTGTAGACCAGGCTGGTCTCGAACTCACAGAGATCTGCCTGCCTCTGCCTCCCAGAGTGCTGGGATTAAAGGCGTGCGCCACCAACGCCAGCTGGTATTCTTGTTCTTAAGCAATAGGACTGAGGTGATGAATCTGCTGTGTTAGGTATAAACTCACATTCATAGTTCATTGAAAGTCTACGGCAGTAAAAACTTAGTCGGGTATCCTGCAGTTATGGAGTGACCTGAAGAGGACAGTTTTGGAACTCAGTAAAAGGATTTACGAGAGGTAAGCCAAAACAAACAAATAAAATAAATATGTAAAATGCAAGGTACTAGCTGATTCAGGCTCTTAACTTGCAAAGGGCATGACGCCTGGAGGTGGCTAGGCACTACTGCACTGAGTAGGCCACACTGAAGATTCTTGCGGGTAAAGCACTTGGTTGTGCTTCCTGTTCCCACAGGACATTTCTTGTTCGTGTGTGGGCGTGTTCTCTTTAGCCTCTAGACTACTGAACTCTCTTCAGGAAGTATCAACTTTGAGCTTTTCTCTTCCTTCCTGGATTACAGTCAGCCGGGGGAAACTTTCTTCTAGGTTTTTTTTTTTTTTTTTTTTTTTTTTTTTTTTTTTTTTTTTTTACGTGTGTATCCTAATCATTTTCTTTAATGCTGTTGGCTTTGCTCATTTTGGTGGATTTTGGTCAACTTTCTTCACTTACGAGGGGGGGATGGGTAATGTTTTTAATTACTTGACTTGGAGTTATTTGGGTGTTTATCTAGAAACACACAGAGATAAATGGGGCTTGTGAAATGTTCTTCCCTGGGAGTCATTTACACACTTTCAGAACTGTGTCACTGGGAATCCTTTCATTGCAACATTTGTGCCACAAACAATACCTTTAAAAAAGCTTTTTACTTTTTATCCAAGGCCCCTGAGCATGGGGTGGGCTGTGATGGCTAAAGAAACTTATTTTATATTAGGCAACCATCTTGATCCCTAACACCCATTTGTCTTAACTTCAAGTACTTGTAAGAAAAGTTCCCAGTAACCCTAATTCAGTGACCCCCAACTCAGCGACCACAGCTTAACAACCTCACAGAGCCTAAGCCACTCAGCTAGGCTGCCTGGGTTCCTGAGTCTCACCAGCTGAGAAGCAGAGTTGGAAGTTGCCACCTTTTAGTACAGTGCTCTGCCACCAGTGATGCTTTTACTTCTCAAGTTTTCTACATACCAGACAGACTTCCTGCTGAGATCAGAAAGGTTTCGATTGAGGTGGCAAAGGCATTCTGGCCTCAGGGTCTTGGCTGTTCTCTGCCTGGAATGCTTCTCCCCCAGATGTCTACTGGGCTGGATGCAGTATCTCCATTAGGACTATATTGCAAGGGTCCTTTCCCAGTAAAGCCTTTCCTGTCCCCACAGCAGTCTCCCCCCTCCTCCACCCTGCACATGCCCATTCCCTACTGTCTTTTTCTTCATAGCATACTGTCGTGAAAACATACACTCCACTATTTTTCTTTGCTGTTTTCTTACACTGGACTATGAGCATAGTGAAGGTAGGAATTCCTAATTAAGGTAGTATCCCAAACAATACCCAGTATGCAGCTACCAAATTAAGTAAACAAATACTCATAACTCCTTAAGAGTCATGAGTATCTTATATAACAGTGCATATCATGTAAAATTAATTTGGAAGCTTTTTTTTTTTTTTTTTGCGACAGGGGTTCTCTTTTGAGCTTTGGAGCCTATCCTGGCATTCGACCTGGAGACCAGGCTGGCCTTGAACTCACAGAGATCCGCCTGTCTCTGCCTCCTGAGTGCTGGGATTAAAGGCGTGCACCACCAACGCCCGGCTGGAAGTTTTTAATACATGACTACAGATACATTTTCTAAAGTTTCTTGTAGGGAAGGCATGAAGAAAATGGTATGTGGCCTTGATCCTGTCTGCACTCTTCAATTTCTTTTTTTTTAGCTAGGGTCTGATGTAGCCCAACCTCTATGAAACCAAAGATGACCCATAAAGTCTGATCCTGCCTCCACTTTTGGAAGCACTGGTTACAAGACTGACCCACCATGCCATTTTGTGAAGGTTAGAGTTCTTGATGTTCATCCCTAAGGCTCCAAACCTAGTCGTTTCTTGGTCATGCCAAAAGCACCTCACATTACTGAAACACTTCCCAGGGCAACATTGAAAGCAAGTGACAGAGAGGCATTCTGACTAGGATGAGGGTAGACTCTTACACATAGCTGGTTCACAGAACCAGAAATCGGATCCTACCTATCCTCCAGAAGATGCAAGGTAAATTAGTATCTATACAACTACATCACTGTTGATGTCATTAGCCTTTACCAGATCCCAATCAATACACTGGGATTACTGCTATTCCACTTGACTGGACTCCCTCCCTTGCCCTATATTGCCTTCCTGTTTAGGGCAGATCCAAGATTTCATTGCCTTATGTGATGAAATTATTTTAGTTCCTTTTTAGCACTGAATTGTTTTCCAACATCCTGTGGTACTCATGAGTAAAAGCTAAAAAGGCTGCTGACTTGTCATCACACAATTTGCCCAATGCCAACAAAGACAAGAACTTACCTAGTAACCCAAAGCCAAGTTAAGAAATCTTGCCACACTAGGGCAGTTCAGGAAAATGAGCAAGTACTTGACCCCTAAACAAAGCCAATCATTGAAATCTACAAAGCAGGGCGGAAGACATTTGCTAATGCTACTTTCATCAAAGTGCCACTTAAGCATCTGAATACTGGGTGCCTCTATCTCCCAATATGGACTTTGCTTTAAAGCTTCCAAATCCCATTTTTCTACAGATTATGGGCCCAACAAGTCTATTTTCTAGAGGGGCATCTGAAGACTTGCATGGTCAACAGCACCTTTTTCTAGACACTTTACAAACCACACTTGTTTCTCAGGGTTCAATGATTTTTATTTGTTAACAAAGCCCAATTTTAGGTGTTTTCTTTAAGCATACAAAGGCCAATTAGTCCTCAGACTCTGATCCATCTTCATCTTGACTAATCTGGAAGTAACGAAGTTCGTAAGTCTCCTTGTCAGATGCAACCACACGAAGCCAATCACGAAGATTATTCTTCTTAAGATATTTCTTGGTAAGATATTTCAAATACCTTAGAGATAAAATCATGGCTTTATTAAGATACATAATCCCTACTATGGAGGCATACACCACCACATTCATCTTCCCAAATTCACTTTATTTTTATTTTTTTCCCTAATTTTACACATCATTCCCAGTTCCTTCTCCCTTCCCCCACCAGCTCCTCAGAGGGCTTGGTTCCCCCATGGGGAGTCAACTGTCCCATGATCACGGTGAGGCCTGACCAAGGTTATTTCTCCATAGGAAATGGGTTTCAAAAAGCCAGTTCATACACCAGGGATAGATCCTGGTCCCACTGCCAGTAGCCCCATAAACTGCTCAATCCACCCACTACCACCCGAATTCAGGGAGTCTAGGTCAGTGCTGTGTAGGTTCAGCTGCTGTCAGTCCTGGGCAGGTGAGCTTTCACTAACTCGGGTCAGAGGCAGATTAAAGAAAAAGCAGCCTCTCAACCCTATGTACAATTGACATCCCATGAAATGTGCTGTCCCGACACCTACAATATACTATTACTATGTTTGAAACTAGAACAGCAATAAGAGCCTCTTCATCCAGTCACTATTGCACAAGCACCTTAAGACAGATTAACAAGGTAATTTTAGAAAAATGTGCAATTTATATATCCCGCAAAGCATTCAATTACAACTTAAAACACAAGAACTAACCTTTTAGAAAACTGTTTCTCAGAAACAACTGTGATCTTATTCTTCAAGCGTTCAATGTGAACAACATTTCCAAGATTTCCAGTTTTTCCATTGACTTTAACCTTTTCCCGTAGAAACTGTTCCTATTTTCAAACAGAAAAAATGCAAAACTAGGGAAGAAAACCCTAGACATTCACTAGGGAAGGTACCCTAGGAGTACAGCTTAGATTAATATCATGTATGATATTATGCAAAGAACTACACAATTACAGAAAGAAAGACACTTACAAAATTTCCGGAATCAAAAATTCCATCTTCTACTGGATGAGTAAGGTCCAAATGAAACCTCCAGGTTGATTTCTTAGGCTTCTTGTCTTTCTGCTATAAATATAATTACGATGGCATCAAGGCAATGTATTCAACTTACATACTGAATTATCAAGGGAAATTTACCAATGCAATATGTTCTATAATGGAGTAATACATAGAAATACTAAATACCTAAAGAAGACTATCCTATATGAAAGTGTACACTCATTAACTTTGCTTAAACGAAGTTTTCGACAAGCCCAATGGAAACTTTCCATTTTGCCACTAAATGCCTCATAAATGCAAAGCTACATTAGAATATATGGTGAGATTATTTGCTTGATCCTAAAGAACTGTCTCCTACTGTAACTTACCTGGCTGTCTAATTCGTCCAAATACATTCACCAAAATGATTAGCAACGATAAGTATCCGTCCTCGGGTACTTTGTAAACTGTTCCCGGACCTCCAATTATCACAAACCCGGAACTAACTTTGGCGCCAATGATGGGACTCGATTTATTCATGGCCGTGGAACGAACAGGTAATCCCGATGGCTTTATGGCCTTATTGGTCATCATTCAGCTTTGAATACTAACTCAGTAACCTTACTTTTAAATCCATTTGGTTAAAATGAACTTTTCAAAACGTTTAAACCACATATCTCGTATTGCTAAAGTCATGACTGCAAGACATACAACCGCGGACCGGCCACCTAACCTCCCCTCTTCCGGTCGCACAGCGGCGCAGGCCATCGGAAGCCAGGGAGAAAGCAGGAGGCCCTGAGGCTGCCCTTGGGAGCTGTCACCTGGCTGAACTACCGGCGGGCCCGCGTCCAGCTCCGCCAGGCCGCACGGCTGCCAAGGAAGGTTCAGAAACCCCGCACCCTGTCATCTCAGCGGAGGTCCCGGGACGACTCTACCGCCCCGTCTTCTCTACCGAGGCGTCCCCACTCCCAGTCGCTAGTCGCAAAAGCTACCGCGCTCCCGGAATAAGATCGCACGAGCGAGCACTCACCGGCGCCATGTTGTCCAGCGGCCGTGGGAAGAGACCGAGCCGCCGCTGCGCGCACGCTTTTATATGAAAGCGTGACGTCACACGCAGAGCGCGCAAGCCGGCGCATACTCGGAACCGGATATAGGCAGGCGTGCACGTCCACCTAGGAAACGGAGGCGTGGCGTTGTTGGGGGAGGGAATGCCCTGGCGCTGGACTCCCGCGTGCGCCATCTAGCGGGCAGCGGTAGCTTAACTGATTCTCTGCACTGGGCTTCCCAGATTTTTCAAGTCTTAGTGGTTTAAGTTGAAGGTTGTGAGAGTCATTTTTCTCAACTCGGAGCAAGGCTGAGTCTCATGTTGCTTTAGGGTCCTCTCTATTGTATTGCGATTATAATCCTCCGCAGAAAAATATGTTCTGTGTTTTGTCTAGGTTTTTACGGTAGAAGATGTCTTTCTGAGAAAACCATATTGAGTATACTTAGGGTTTACATAATTCTATTTTCTATCCGTTTTACAATTTGCTGAGACCTAATTACTAGTGTCTACAAAGTACATTAGAATGGAGGTATCTTGATGATAGAAAAAGAGCCTATGAGTTTTGAATGTTTGCAAATTGATGCCAGTCCAGAAAACTGGCCTGCCTGTTGGTATTTAGCAGCAATAAGTCTCTGTGGCCAGGAGACGGGATGGACTTTAGCTGTGGATTTGGAAAAGTCCCTATTATGTAATAGTTATGTATGTGCTCTGCACAAGCAATTAATTCTAGTGTTAATACAGTGTAGGGCATGCAGCTAATGGTACTGGAGGCTTAGAAGAAAACAATTTCATTAGCTTTTTAAAAATCTGTTTACATCAGCCAGGTGTTGTTGGTGCATGCCTTTAATCGTAGCACTCAGGAGGCAGAGGCTGGCAGATCTCTGTGAGTTCTAGACCAACCTGGTCTACAAGAACTAGTTCTAGGACAGCCTCCAAAGCCACAGAGAAACCCTGTCTCGAAAAACAAAACAAAACAAAAAAATTGTTTGCCTCAAGAATCACAAGAATGGCGGGGACAGGGATTGGTATTTCTTCCTCAAGGGCTTCCCCTTCATTGAGCAAAGTGATCTTGGTGTTATTAGATATTTTAAAAATAAGTCATTAATTGACATTTTAAAATTTTGTTTTGATTATCTTTAGTAACTTTCTATGACCTAACAATAAACATCTTTAGAACTATTAAGCCATTATGTGCAGAAGACATTAAAAAACAATATGTGATTAGAATTAACTAGTGATTTCTAGTTCCAAATAATTAGAAACCATAATGGGTGAAAATTATTAGACATTTTCCTCTTGATTAGAAAAACATTAACCAGAATTGTGCAGATAGCAAGAATTAATGTTATCAATAATTCTTTCCAATCTTTGGATTTCCTACAAAGTATATAGGCTTAGTTACTATTCTACTGCTGTGCAGACACCATGGCCAAAGCAATTTATAGAAGGAAGTTACTGGTGACCTATAGTTATTTAGAGGGCGAGTCTCTGACCATCAGAACAGGGAGCATGGTGGCAGGCAGGCATAGCATTGGAGCGGTAGCTAAAAGCTTATACCTTGATCCACAAACAGGAAGCAGAGAGGACTAACTGGGAATGGTGTGGACTAGTGGAACCTCAAAGCCTACCCTCAGTGACACATCTCCTTCAACAAGATCACATCTCCTATCCTTCCCAAATGGGAACCAAGCACTCAAATATATGAGCTTATGGAAGCCATTATCATTCAAACCAATGGCTTGAATGTTTTTTTTTTTTGAGCCAAAAAAAAGAAAAAAGAAAAATTAGAACAATTGAGAGCAATTATGCAGTCCCAGCTATTGTTCTTTTGCTTCAAATGGTAGGATAAATCTGAAAGGGGGGGTCCTGCGTGGGGGACCATGGTAGATTCTATGGCCTGCAAGGTGACTGAGGCGGAGGACAAACACACCAGGCAGACAGAGCTTGAGTAAGAAGTTTTATAAGGAAGGGGAGGGAGAGGGAAGAAGAGAAAAGAGGTAAAGAGACACAGCCATGACAGAGAGAGGACAGAAGAGGGAGACAAGAGCAGAAAGAGAGGAGAGCAGAGGGAGAGAAGAGCCACAAAAAGAGAGGAAAGAGTAGAAAGACCAAGAGAGCATAAGTGGTCAGGGGTCTGTCTTTTAAAGGAGTCCTTTGCACCTGCTTGCAGACTAGTACTCATGGAACCCTGGGCTGACCAGAGTACTGCCTGAGTGCATTCTGCCAGGTGACACGGGCAGGCAAGCATAATGCCTGAATTCTTACACCAGCTACTTTAAAATAAGTCATGTAACAAATACCTCCCCCCTTCTTTGTTTTTGAGACAGGGTCTCACTATGAAGCCCTGGCTATCATTGAAGCAATGAAGACCAGGTTGGGTTTGAACTCAAGGTATTTTCCAGCATCTGCTTCACAAGTTCTGGGATCAGAGATGCGCAGAACCATACCTGGTGGACAGATATATTTCTAACGAATTATAAACTTAACTCATTGGATTTGCTTGGTATTGGATTATGAATAGCTAGAACAGTATTTTAAAAAACACAGGATATTGTAGATTTAAGGTTATTGTAAAACTGTATTGTATGGCCACCTAAAATACAATGTTATAAATGACTTGTAATATATGGTTAAGCTGATAGCAAAGTAAAAGAATATTTTGGAAGCCAAAAGGCAAGCTATGCTCATGTGTATCTGGAGTTTGAATTAGCTGCCAAGGTAGAATTGAAAATATAAAACTGCAGTTATTGCATGCTTGGATTGATGCCAAGAAGTCCAAATACTTGCTGGAGAAATGCACCTTTGATTTAGTCAGGAAGAAGTGCCTGAGCAAAGCTTCCAGAAACATGAGCTGGTAGCTTTTGAAATTACTAAATACATAAGAAAACAAACCACTATGAATAAAGACCAATCATCCATACTATAAAATCAGATCACAGAGCCTGCATATATTGAAAATATCCAGAACATAAGTATTTTCAGTACAATTAAGAGCTAAACGTATCTCAAAATGTGAGGGAACTAGAGGCTGTTAAATTTTGTCAGTATTTAAAACATAAACCACAAAAGAATTTCTTGTACTTAAAAATACAAAAGTTGAATTACAAAGAATTTTAAAAAGTTATGTTAAACAGGAGGCTAGACACAGGTAAAGAGAAAATTAAGAAATTGGCAACTTAAGACTCTAAGCAATAGTGGAAAGGGTGCCTGAACTGGCCCTCCCCTGTAATCAGATTGGTGACTATCTCAATTGTCATCATAGAACCTTCATCCAGCAACTGATGGAGCTATGCAGAGATCCACAGCTAAGCACTGGGCTGAACTCCTGAGTTCATTGTAGAGAGGGAGGAATGATAATATGATCAAAAGACCATGGTGGGGAAACCCACAGAACCAGATGACATAAGCAAGTGGGAGCTCACTGACTCTAGACTGACAGCTGGGGAACCTGAGTAAGACCCAATTAGATCCTCTGAATGTGGGTGACATTTGGGTGGCTTGGACAGTTTGTGGGGCCTCTAGCAGTGGAACCAATTTTATCCCTTGTACATGAACTGGCTTTTTGGAGTCCATTCCCTATGGAGGGATTGCTCAACCTAGATACAGGGGTGAGGGCCTTAGTCCTGCCTCAAGTGATAAGACAGACTTTGTTGATTCCCCATGGGAAGCCTCACCCTCTCTGAGGAGTGGATGGAGGGGTGGGGTGGGGAGAAGGTGGGAGGAGCGGGAGGACAGGAGGGAGAGGGAACTGGGATTGGTGTGTAAAATAAGATTGTTTTTAAAAGTACTAAAATTAAAAAGATCTGAAGCAAAATGAACTAAACTTCAATAGAACATTAAAGAAGCCAAGACTAGTGAGTGGTACCAGTAACTTAAGACATTGTAGCAGTGGTCGCTTGGTTCCATGAGTCTGAGATTAGCTAACAACATATTGAAACATTGAAGAAAACAAACAACAAAGAAACAGAAAACTGAAAGAAGGAAAAGGAGGGATGGAGGGAGATGACTAGAAGGTCTAGCAGGTAAACGTGCTTGTTTGCAAGCCCGTTGAGCAGAGTTCAGTTCCAGAATCCATGGTGACAGGAGAGAGCAGACTCCCAAAAATCTGCCCTCTGACCTCCACATGCATGTGGTAGCAGACACATATGTAGCACCACACATCACACACGCGCACACACATACAGTGAGACAGACAGACAGACACACAGATACACACACACACACACGTAGCACCACACATCACACATGCGCACACACACACAGTGAGACAGACAGACAGACAGACACACAGAGACACACACACACACACACACACACACACACACACACACACACGTAGCACCACACATCACACACGCGCACACACACACAGTGAGACAGACAGACAGACAGACACACAGAGACACACACACACACACACACACACACCCACACACACACACACACACCCACACACACACACACACACCCACACACACACACACACACCCACACACACACACACACACGAGACAGACAGACACACAGAGATACACACACAGATACATACAAATAACACACAGGTAATGAAGGTGGAAAAAAGACCTGAGGAAGGAAGCAAACAGGAAGGAAGGAAATTACGGATACAAGTATAGATTCAGGACAAGGATGCTGGAGTTCCTACTATGTCTAAATGGCACTGGCTGGGAGATCCAGTAGGATATACCAGAGATAACGGGAAAAGATAGGTAAATGGCTGAATTCTCAGATCCAGGAAGCCCAACAAATTTCAAGTGGAACAGTTTAAAAAAGAAAGTCCTCCATATACGCTTTAGTGAGCCTTCAAGACACAAAAACAAAATTATTTCCAAAGAATCCAGAGAGAGAAAATCCAAAATATTCACTAGCGGCCCTGATATCACACCAGCAAAGATAAAGCCAGCAAGTGACAGATATAAAGAATAAAATTCGAAGACACATTTAAAACATTTTTAGGCCACACAACTCCATGTTTTTATCCAAATATTTTCAGAAAGGAATTCTGAAAGATTTCATAGCAAAGGAAAAAAATGCTAGAAAGAAGGCTGATGTATTAAATGTTGGGCAAAAT